TCATCCACACAGATTTTAGGTTAGTTTGATTATTAACTGGATTTATATTGTTTTTGTGTTTGAACAAACTATATTCGTTTAAGGGTTGGCAGATAATCCGGTAAATATATCAATCGTTGATTGAAGCGCATCATGATTTATATGCTAAGCTTATCATTTAAACGTGTTTTAAGCAGGTTTTAAAATATGGTTTAAACTGTTCATGGACATTAAGCAGTGGGGCAGAATTAATTCTGATAAATACGTGCTTTAAGATGGTTTCAGCCTGATTCATGCGACGCGCACCTGCTTGTATAGCGACTGACTAAACTTTCGCTCCTTGTGCTTAAACGTTCAAATACACATAGTTAAAAAATCTTACTGTTCGACTGGCATGTGAATTAACGGCTCGTCTGTGTTTCTGCAGTGAACACACCACACTTTCTGCATATCAAAGGCGTGGAGGTGAACGCCAGACAGACCGCTACGTTCCTCTGCACCGTCAACGGAGAATGGAGAGACAGCTTCAACCTCTGGCTGCAGGTCAGACACTCTCTCAACTGCAAGAGTCTTTTCATTGATGATGATGATGATGATGTGTGTGTTAACGACTGATGAAGAGGCAGTGACAGAATCCGCCGTCACTGCAGAACACTCGCAAACAACAGAGCAACCAAAAAATGAGTTTCTTCACTCATTCTATTAGTGTTTTGTTTTGTAAACCTCCTTTAAAAACAAAACACATATGTGACCCTGGAGCACAAAACCAGTCATAAGGGTCAATTTTTCGAAATTGAGATGTATGCATCACCTGAAAGCTGTATGAGATCTTAAAAGGATAGTTCACCCAAAAATGAGCGTTCATCATCAGGGTTGCCAGGTTTTCACAACAAAACCTGCCCAATTGCTACTCAAAACTAGCCCAATCACATTTCGAGGGGGTTCCCCCGGTAAAAATCGCATTCCGGTGGGGTACAATACACGTTTTTGGTAATTATTCGCATTTTAGGGGCTAAATATCACGTTATTGGGGTCGCTTAAACCCGCGGACATGAAAAACAACCCGCGGCAACAGTGTTAAAGTAGCCCAATTCTGCGGGAAAACCACGG